TATTTTGTTAAAAGGCCAAATAAGGAATTCAAACAAAAAAAAAAAAATTCTGTTTTGTTTTATTCTTGGATCAGGCTCCAAAGGGTTAAAACCCGACAGACATCGTATAACAACTCTATGAAAAAATTTATTAAATAAATCAGTTGTCAAAATTGAATCAATTAGTTCCTGTAAATAAAAAGCTATTTAAACGGTTAGAAACATCGTTTTCGGCAGGAATAACCTCCAGTAAAGTCCTTCATTAAGGAGCTGAAGAAGCCTCTGACTGAACACCCGTGATTCTTTCTCACTATGTAATGTTCTAACTGTTCTACCTTCCCAACCTAAAAGAGGAGGTTGATTTAGACTCTAGAAATACTTTTAAGGGCCAACAATGAAGATAAAGAACGTGTGTGGAATAGACTTATGTCAATGGTGACCTTTACATTAGCATGCTAACACGTCACTCTCATTAAAATGATCCAGAAGGCTATGTTTAATTTTTGGACACCTTCGCTGGCCTTTGGACCACTTTGAGTGGTTGTATAGTCTTAATGTCACATAACTCGACACAGCAAATAATTTTTGCCGCTTGGTTTTTATGGACGGTAGCACTGGCTAGCTTTTAGCAATACAAGCTAGCCTTTTCCTTAGCATCTCTTGTGTTTTTCCTCCCTGTTACGTGGTGGTCCAACAACCTGGGTCGTAGTAAAGGCAATAAACCACGAGAGCAGCATTTTGTAGTGGTGCGGTACTGATAAATGGCCGGGATTTGCTGTAATCCCACAGAGGCAGCTGCACAGGTGAGCGTGTGTGTCATGAATCAGGCTGAATCTGGAAGACAGAGCACACGCCTGCCATACAGGAGAGCTACAGCACTGACAGCTAACTTCAGATATTATATACATCTGCTTCCCCGGGATGGAATTTATGTGTGCCAGCAGCTGGAAAATATGTTGGGGAGGAGGAGATGATGGTTAAAATGAAAGCCTTTTTTTGAATTTTTGGTGGAGATGATGAGGAAATCCTGCTGCTACAGAGGGGATTTGACACCTTTCACAGAAGTAAATGTCGCCCTCTGTTGGGGGAATCGTTCCTGATACAGAGATCCAGTCAGATGAGATCTCCAGAGGATAAAGAATGTAGAAAAACACATCAAATAAGAACAAAAAAGAAGTCCAAATTAACTAACAAGGGCCAACAAAGCAAAACTTTTTCATGCATGGTCAGCTGACATCTCATCAAGCTGTGAACAAAGATGGACACAGAGCCAATTACTTTTTAGTGTCTACGTTGTATGATATTTTTGAGTTTATATGGGAAAAAGTGTAGTAAAAGTGAAGAAAAACATCATACTACCAATAATAATAAGAATAAGAATAAAAATCACATGAGCTCAGGAGGACTTTGGAAAACCTTTTTAATTTCTTCTATCTATAATTAATCCTTTAAAGCCTGATTTGATCATAAATAGAGAGGATTTTTTTTGTACTTAGTTCCTTATTTGTTGCGTTTTACTGCACTACCTTAATATACTAAAATGATTTTCCTATTTTGTTCTTTTTTGGTAAATAAGGTCTTGTGTTCTTCTGACAACTGGCATCAGGTATATCAGCATATTTACAATGATGTTATGAGCAAATATTTAACCCTAAAGTAAAGAAAAAGGGCTCAGATGCAAACGATTTCAGAAACCACATGTATCGAATATGATACAAATGAAATTACTTTAATAAGCAAAAATAACAGTACATTTAATTTGCATTGCACTTTACATAATTAAAATGTCAATGTGATTACATGATTTTAAAGAAAATAAAAAATAAAATTAGTTATAAAAAATGTAAAATAACTATTTCAACTGGAGCTTCCTTGGTAATTGTTGGTTTGTATATACAAGTCGATCTTTGTAAAATACTATTAAAGTACTTTTCATCTAAACTTTATGTAGTACTTTCATAAAAAAATTTAATTAGATTTATAGACCCAAAAGAACTGGGCCAAAAGCGAGCAAGAGGATACATTTATGTTAACAAAAATATTCAAATCTGAGCTGAATGTGCAGTGGAATATTTTTTTTTAAAGGTACAAAACTACACAAAATAATGACAGAACGCAGTAATCATAAAATGTGACTTAAAAAAATGATTCTTACCCAACTGCAATACTACTGATAATAAAGAGTATGAGGAATACTTAACCATCCATTTTTTGTTCTTACACAAAAAGACATTTTTGTTCAGATCCGCCACTTTTTGTTTTTTCTTGATTCACAAACACTGTATTAGCAGTCAACAGCAGAAGTCTTCAAAAGACTAAACGCATTGCCAATGGAAAATTAGAATATCATCAAGAGGATCTTTAAGTTAAGACAAGTTTCAAACTTGCATTAAAAATACAGAAATCTTGTTTTTGCCATTATTCAAAAATTCTTTATTTTGTGGTCAAACAAGAGCATCACTACAGGTAAAAAAAAATGTTTTTTAATGCAACAGGCTGAAAGATGTATGACCAGACATTAAAATTACACATAAAGCTGAATCAACACACATTTCGGACGGATTTCATGTCATAAATGTATAATTTAATAATGATTAAAAACAGATTTCTAATAGAATACCTGATGCAGAGATGGAAATGTAATATTTGGATGGATAAATTAATATGTTAGCATCATTCAAGTCTCCATGGAGAGGTTTTTTTTTTATTCAGGTCTGACAAAATCTTCAAAGATTTCTTTACTGAAACTACTCAATTCTGTTCTTTTTATATTTAAAAAAATACATATAGCTATTTATTCATTCATCCATGTTGCTTTCTTTGGGGTAGTTAGTGTTAAAAAATAAGTTTTTGTAAATGTTGTATGTGATGAGTTTGAACATACACGTTCAAAATGGAAGGATCCTATTTGAAGACATAATGTAAGAACAGGCTTCTGACTCACAGGCAGCTTTTTACCAGTACACTGAAGTTGATTGTCATGTCTACAACAGGTTATTTTACCTAAAAATAGAGATGCAGTTTGCTGCTTTTTCTCCAAAATTCGAGATCTCCTCACTGCACGATGCCAGTATTTTAGATGCAGTTTTTTTACAATAAAAAAAACTAAAAGGATAAAAAAAAAAAAGAGTTAAAGCATCTCACTGCTGCTGATGGAAACAGAAATAGGACTTGGTAGGTGTTCTAAAAGCAGGTCTCACCTGCCTCAACAGAAAAAATGTTTCTAAAAATATGGAATTTAGCAACAAAACTGATGGGAATGCAAAAGTAACGACTTAATCTCTGAGTGATCGACACATTTGGAGGCAGTCGGAGCTACATTGTCGAAGATTAATGGCACTTTTGCTCAAAGCCAGCTAAAGAGACGCCTACTCTCCTCGATAAACGACGATGTTGTTGTCGGTCTCGTGAATCTTGATCTCGTGGAGCAGGTTCTTTGGCAGTTCCTTCACCATGTTGTCCCAGATGTAAACGGCCAGGTTTTCCGTTGTGCTGGGAAGGAAAAGGAGAGAGAAGCCACAGAGTGAGTGTGAATGTGGAGTCAGTCAGAAAAGTGCTGAGTGGGTTTGAGGTGGTTCACACCTGGCCACCGTGGCAAAGTAAGGGACGTCCTTATCCAGGTTTTTATGGTCCAGCGGAGCCATGATGACTTTCTGTGGGGAAAGAAGTACTGGAATCAGTCGGGTTTTGGATATTGTGCAGAGAAATAAAAGGGCTGTGTAGAGAAAAAAGGGAAAAAAAGTATGACAAAAGATTCAGTTGTTGTATTAATCCTTTGTATCCAGACTTAAAAAGAACTATAAGTTAGCTTTTACTGAATATTAGATATATTGTTACCATATTTTTAATATCTAGTTCTAAGATCGCTTCCAAGAAACACTTGAATTATATTGCCAAAGTAAGCTTATCCCATCTGTAGAAGTTGATTAGGAGTTTCATTTAAACAGCAAAATCAATCAGCACAATATTGCCGACTCTGTGGCATCTTATTGACATTATATGGGTTTAATCCGTCCTTTTGGCCAGAGCTGAATGGTCCTTAGAGCTGAGGTGGGACCTCGGCTGGAGGAAGACGTTAAACATCCAACATCCTCGGCCCACCGCCAGAACTTTGGGTTGAGGGTGTTGTTAGAACAAAATTAGATTTAGACTTCCTTTATTGTGGCTGTACAAAGCCACATAGTTCATCTGACAATGATATGCCGTTGCTTGGCAACCAGGTACAGCGAGGTCTGTGTGTAGGGTTGGTGATAAATAGTCTGCGGATAATTAATAAAAGCTAAACTATATAAACATAACTACGAATATATAATAGCTGGAAAAAATGTTTTTAGTATAAAAGATAAATAGAGTTGGGATCTGAATATAAACAGTACAGATCCCAACTCTATATATCTTTTACATGCATTTTACATCCATTTATATTTTTGCACATGCATGATCATTTGTCTGCATTTTAAGGATTTGCACAAAAAATTGTTCTAGAATAATCTATTATTATCAAAAGATATCCTGGATATGTTGAACCTGTTTGTACCCACATCAATTTCTACTGGAGTGACTTTAGAAAAGGAAGAAGAATGAATGGATTGCTCCTGTTTGTTAAAAAAGAGCTAAAAACAGAAAAATAATCATGTGAAATCACATTTTTTGGAAAAACAGTAGACTCAGAATGCTGGTCTAACATCTCAACTGAGTTTTAATGAACAAAAAAGGCAGGTTCAAAGCCCTCCTACCTCAATATGCTTCTTCAGGTCTGTCAGGTTCATGACCATGCCGGTTTTTCCGTCGATCTGCCAACAGACACAGGATGAAATGGTTTAGGACGAGACCCTGATGCGGGTCACGGTCTGTGACTCAGCCTGGACCTTTAAGCTGGGCCTGAATCTTCATTTAAGCGTCTTTTATCTGCTTAAAACTCACCTTTCCGCGCACCGTTACTTCCACTGTGGACAGAAACAACAGGATTGGATGAATGGGCGGCCACAGAAACAGCAGATTTTTCTAATGTTTCTATTCGGCCACCAATGTAAAACAGCGACCGTGCTGCGTTTTGTCCATAAATGTCCATAAAATAGCAAACCTTTGTAGTTGTGTCCGTGGCCGTTGGGATTGTTGCACTTCCCAAAGACCTTTTTATTCTCCTCATCGCTCAGGTGAATGCTGAAAGGACAAAAGCAAACAGAAAGTAACTCAAGTTGAGTTCAGTGTTCTGACAGCTCTATAAAACCGATGGTGGTGCGTTCAGGTGCAACTCGTACATCAACACTGGATCCGTCAACAAAGTTAGCCTGTTTAAAGAAATCCCAGTCCTGTGCGAACTATAACTAATTTGTCGAATTTTTAAAAAGATTAACATTGTAATGATTACCGACTGGCACTCCTGCTAGCAATTGAGCAATGATGCCGTTTGTACCGGCTAGTTTTTCAATACTTTAATTTCATAGACGATAGGACCGAATGCACGTGATGGCAGCGTCAGCTTCCCAGATGTTAAATGCTTTGGAAAGACTACAAATCCCACCAGAATGACGCCGAAGATTAAAAATGGACTTGTCTGAACTTAAAATTAAAAAGCGGGAGTATAAAGGATTGATCGCGCCTCGCTATCCTAATTTTTCTTAATCGTGTTTAGTTTGCTTCCTGTTCGACATCCATCGTTCATTAGTGAAGCGCCAGTTCTGGTCTGATACGCGCTGAATTCTACTACTTTTCGCTCGTTTGACACGAAAATGCCAGAAACAGTCGGTTTTTATTCAACCCACTACTCCTGGGAGACTGATATTTTCATTCGGCGTGCACTGTTAACCCAGCCGGACGGCGAATTGAGGTCCATTCCCTTCTACTACGGGAAGCCGGAGGGGGGCACCGAGGAGCCGGAGGGCGGCGGGGTACCTGTGGAGTCTGTGGCAGGCGCTGAAGCTCTGGACTCGGGTGATGTAACCGACGCGTTCCGCCGCGTTAGGGCCGGTAGCAGAGTCACCCATGTTCGGTCCTCACGTCGGACTCCCGGAGAGGATTTACGCTAATGTGCTGATGCTGAAGAGACGGGAGTTAAAACCAACAGGCCGCCGTCCGAAGCCCCGCCCCTGTGGCTCACGCTGTCCGCCATTGGCTGATATCGGGGAGTAAATACAGGTCACGTGTCCCACGCCTGGAGCTGGAGCTGAGCGTGTTTCAGTCCCAGAGAACCGCAGAAACTGTCCGTGTGGAATAAAGTCCTGTATTGATTACTTTTATCTCTTAATTTGGCTTGCGGTTCGAGCGTTTAAGGACAGATGGAAATCTACGTTTGACTGAGTCACATGAGCCAAACGGAAGTTAACTGTGGGACAAAGTTTGGGAAACTGTACAGACTTAGATGTAACGCCACTTATTCTACTTATTCAGATGTGATATAGTTTGTGATGTTAATGTACAAGTTGCATCTCTGAACCATAAAAACATGGAATTCCCTATATGTAAAAATACATACAAGGAATAAAATAATTCTGAATCTTTTCCGCATACTTCTACTTCACTGCAAGAAGGGTCCTGGTTTGGAGTTCAAATGGGGCCCTTTCTGTGTGGGGTTCACATGTTTTACTTATTCAGGGCCTTTTTAAGGGCCTGTAACGGATTGGATAACCTGTGATCTAAACTGAACGTCAGAGTCAGTCCTGCTCGTCATATGTCGCTGTCTGGGTAGTTCCCAGCTTCTCACCTGAGAGTGGTCAGCTAATTTAAGCGGGAACCGAGACTATTGGATGGCAAAAGTAGGCTTTAAATGAGTGTATATAGAAAATGTTAAATATCTAAAGAATTGGGGGAAGAAAAATCCAGCAAAGACATCAAACTGTGCCTGAAAAACCCTCAGTTTATCCATATATTGTTTTTAAAGATAAGTATTATTTATTCCTAAATGTAATTCATTTTACAATTAAGGAAAGTATTTCAAATGACCAAAGCAGAGCAGACAAATGAATGGACTTCGTTGCGCACAAAACTGACTGGTCTACTTTAAGCATGGCGCTAATAAACGTGTTTTTCATGGTTTGCTCACACTTTAATTTCACGTGTCAGAGTTGGAGCCTCCTGGTTCTCATGTGAGAGTCACCAGAGACTGCACTGCCAAAGGCAGAGTTCTTCTTTTCACCTTACTGAAGTCTGATGCTAAACCCGAAAATGTGAAGGAGATTCACGGTACACGCATCAAATACAGAGTTTCACGATCAAGCACCCATTGTTGTTCATTAGTGTTCAGGCAAAATGTAAAGAGACAAAAGCGGGGAAAAAAAAAAAAAGTGGGATGTATTATTTAGAAAAATTAGCTTCATTTGGGAAAATTAGTTATTGAGTTTACTGCATGTTTTTAAACCTATAAATGCATTTTTATTTTCATTTGATATGAGATACTGAGATATTCAGGAATGGTTAAAAGTCTGTGAACGCATGCAGAAGTAGTTAGGTTAAGAAGATCTGAAGGTTTTTGAAGAATTTTGAGGTTTCTCCACTAATTTCAATGAAAGACAAAAAGTGGAACATTTTAAAAACCAGTAGACATGGCGTAAATATCCTGAATGAGCCAAATGTTTTCACCCTTAATTTGTTCAGACGGCTGCAATTAGTGGAATGACTTAAGTGCAAAAAAATATAGACAGAAAATAAGGGAAGGCTCTAGTGATAGTGCTGAATCAGCATTTTTACAACAAGAAGCAAGGTAGAAGAAATTATATAAGAACAGAAAAGGCAGAGAGTAACCAAGAAAGACCATAAAGACCAGAAAGACCACGTCCTTCCATAAAATCCATAAATTGCAACCCTTAAATGTTAAACTGGACAAACCAAAAATAGTCCACAATACCAAAAATCCAAAACTAATCACACTTTGATTTTGCTTTTGGTTTATTTATTGCCATTTGATGTCTGTGTTATTTATTTACTGCCATTTCACCATCAGATATGTCATGTGTCTTAAAGAAAAAGTGCATATATATGTATGTTTTATTGATGACTAAAAAGAAGAGGAAGAAGGAGGCATTTTTACGAAAATGTAACTGCTGTTTTATTAGTGACCATCCACTCCTGTGTGTCTACCTGTTCAAATATTTGATAGTTTTCTCTGCACAACAATGCATTCAATACATTTTAAGCTTCACAAGAATAGAAAACAACAAAAAGCCTATAAAATCTGCCACCCATAGCTCCTTTGCATTCAGTATTATTCACATTCAGACAACAAATACATTGTATTTATATACACATTTCCAGATGATGTGTCCATTGGATATTTGTAACTGGCCTAACATAGTAAGATGATGTATTTTACACGGTAAATTAAACACAACTGTATAAAAAGTGATAAATACTGCAGTTACATTTGTACAGGATAAAGTTCACTGTTTGAACTTGTTTCAATTGGATTCAATTTCTCATAATTTGACACTGTAACTTTGTAACTCATTACCAAGAAATATAAGTGACGCTAGAACAAAGACTGTAACTTTCCAATACTCACAGCACAACATGTAATCGGTATGTTTACCCATGCTAATAGATAATAGCGTCTCAGTATAGACCCAGAAATTGTGAGATGGCTACATGACTCACATTTATTCTTATTTCTGTTGTTATTCCTCAACTTAAAAAGCAACGAACAGAAGATTTCTGAAGTAATTTGAATATTTTTTTAACCTCTACTATGTTCATGTTAAAATAATTTACAGTACAAAATGATTTGATATATATTTTGCTGCTTAAGACACATAAATGATGGACATGGTCACTGTCAGGTCACTTTCTGCTTTTATGGATCAGGTTTTTTAATTTCTTTGCAGTTTCAACACTTTAAATCTCGTCTTTTAAGCCTGCTCACTGTGAGCAAATAGACACTAAGTAAGCCCACAATAATGGCCCCAAACCTTTACTCTGTGTACTGTCCAACCATCTGTAATGGGATAACTATAAGATATAGAGCAGTTTAAGTTTTACTTGCATTGTTTTTTCAGACTCATATCATAGTCCAATTAGTATTATCTGTTATATACAGTCAACATTTTCCATCCTATTTACAGGAAACACTGCATATATTTATTTTTCATATGTACACACATTTGTAGAATACACTGCAAAAATATATAATCCTTGTCAATGTTACCAATACTGCCAGTTGAGAAAGAAATGCAAGATGCATTGACTTAACCATCCTCAGCTGGATGTGAATTCTCAGTTGCAAGAACCAGTTTGGGCTCCAGGTGTAACGTTCCTGGCACTGGAGCTGGCTCCACCCCGTCTGCACACCTGCTCAGCATCCTCACTCCATAATCACCCTCATCGCCTGCACCTGTTTCCACCTCCATTTATACTCTGCTCATGCCAGTCTCCGTGCCAGAGATAAATTAGCAAAAAGGGCTTTAGATCAGGCAATAACGATTAAAA